GCGTTGCACGGCCACATTCTAAGTTGAAGGAAACCAGGAGCAAAACCACGCCAGGGCGCTGGTTTCAAACCTGAGGGTCGTGATCCCTGTAGACGCAGAATATATTTAGTGGGGTCAAACATTTAAAAAAAAGAAGGAAGAAACAGAAATGTGAGCGCATCAAAAGTAATAAGGTGTTATTTGGGAAACTGTTGTTTTCGTTTTGTATCTTTTTGTTGCTCTGTGTTATGAAATAGGTTTCTGTGGGATTGTATGGGGAAAGTTTGAAACCCATGAATCTAACAAGTACATGTCCCAGATTCCCTGAACTTGGGGACTGTCACTGTCATGTTACATTCACAGAAGTGCCTTGTCCCGTGAAGTAGTTTGGGGGCTGAAAGAGTTCACTGTGTTTGGGAATGTAGTAGAGTCCTAAACTCCCACAAATTCTGGCAGCTGCCCAATAATGGTTAGGGTTACTGAGTACAATTTTGATTGTCTTTTTAGGAATCAGCTAACACCTAAATGATTAGAATAAGGTAGCTTTTTAAAGTGGTTAATATTTTGAATTCCACACTAATAAGGTTTATTTTGTGTTTTTTCCCTGTAATAATATACTTTCAAAAGTTTTATGGTATTCTTTACCATCATTTTACATACATTCATTGGGCATAGTTGTGTTTTTTGTTTATCCAGAGGAATATATTTCCAATTTTATAACAAAGTGTGAAAGAAGGGATGGGGAAGTTTTTACCAAACTGTTAAGCAAGAACTGGAGAAAACCCACACACTCACAGATACATATACAGATACAGTGTATTTATTTGGTGATGATTATTTTGTGTCCCTTCTAGATAAAGAATTGGAGGCACAAATTGGTGAAATAATTTGCCAGGAGTTACACAAGAACATAAATTGTGAAAAGAAAGCTCTTGGGATGGCATTGGGTCGTGATGTGTTTAGCTATCCTTGGCTTGTGAGCACTGAAGCTGCAGAATTGGAAGAGCACTGAGTAATGAGCCAGAAGGCTTGGCTTCTAGTCTCCACTCTGCACCAGCCTGTCTGTGTCAGCGCAGGCTTGCTGTTTCACGTTGGGGCCTCTGTTCGTAAAGTGAGAATGTGGGCTTGATCTCTGAAGGTCCCTTTAGCATTTAGATGTTGCTTCCCAAAGGGCTGGAGTCTTGCATCAGACCCCACCCTGGGGTTTGTGCTGTTTGCAAGGCCCCAAGGAGGTGCTTCATTCTTTTTTTCCAAGAAGATAATGTGCATTACCCCACAGAGCCCTATAACGCAATGGCCTGTCAGCACCGCGAGGAGCTTCTTCACTGGGGACTGAGCCCAGGCTGTTTGTAGTAACCAAGACAGATCTTGGAATGTGGCCAGGAGATGTAATTTCTGTGACCAACTAGTGCCTACTCAAAAAGCTTGCTCGATCCATCCAAGAACGGTGTCTTCTGTCTTTGGAGCATGAGAATATAGAATTCTATCTACTGTTAAGGACTTCGAGTTCAAGGACTCCTATTATCTTCTTCTAGCAATTACCAAGAAAATGTATTCTTGCTGAATACAATTTTATAGATGTTGGCAAGGAATGCCTTCATATCTTAATAAGTGTTAAAAATTAGTTTGTATTTGCTAATTCCTCACCCTCTCTGTAATGACAGTTATATTGCTTTATTGTTCAGTGCTATGAAGAGTGGATAGTATTTGCAGTCACCTTTTGACATTGGTAATAACCTCTGTTTTCGGGTAAATTAGGACCTGGGTCACCAGAGGAAAAGTTGGTCTGAGTGGCTGTTCTTCCATCACCCCATTCACACACACTGTGTAGCCATGGGTTTGATCCCACTTCTGACACTACAGGGTTCTTTGTAATGGTGGATGTTGTGACCTGTGTTTGACAACGATGGTCTCCTCTGGTCCTTCTTTAGGTCTTCACTGCCACTGCCACTGCCACTGGTGTGCAGGATTGAGGCTGTTGATAGCAACACTGGGCTCTGGGGAATGGCCACCAAGAGCTTGGAGGAGGTCTTAGATGAGACGTGTTTTCATGGGGAGCCCTCCCGGGAACCCTGTACTCACCTAATGTTAACTACCTTGTGCCACAGCCTAATTGCCGAGGTGCGAGTGTTTTCAACAGATGTTCGTTGGGCGCCCGTCCTCCTCCTAGGCTCTTCATGCGCCTGTTAGAGCGTTGCGTGTGGATATCCAACAGGAGCGTAACTCAACAGATAATTCCCATCACCTTTTCCTCAGAGTCTCCTCTACCTTCTTCTGCATCTCTTCCTGCTTTGGTCTACCATGGCCGATCGGGACACCCCTTACTCAGTCTCCCAAACTTGAACTTGAGAATTTGGAATTACCTGTACTCTTCCCACTCCATACTTTTTATACTAATAAGTTCTCAAACTCTGCTCCACCGCCAAAGATGTTTTTCAGGCGCACACTGCTTGCTGTCCCCAGTGTTGTTCAAGGTCAAACCCAGTTTATTTCCCCCTGGACTGCTTCAGTTATCCTCTTAACTGAACTTTTTGTTTCTAATCTGTGTGCCCTCCTATTTATCACTCACCAAGTTTTCTTTCTTTCTTTTTTTTTTAAATTACCCTTCTGATTAACCTTTTATTTTGTTGTTTTACAATTTGCTTTTTTTTACTTAACATTGTATTCTGGAAGTTTTCCATGTTGTTCATTCACATTTATCTTTTTTTAACAATGCTATGTTAAAATGCATGTATTAGTTTATTTAACCATTCATCTGTGAATGGACATTTTTATTGATATTTTTTCTTTCAATACGGAGAATACTGAAGTGAGTGTACATACACGTGTGCAAGATACCAAAAAGTGGACTTTCTGGGTCAAAATGAATATACATTTAAAATGTTAACAGACACCAGCAAATCAATTTACAAAGAATGCCTTTCAATTTATGCTCCCATTTTTCATGCCTTTTTTTTTTCAAAATCCTTCATAATCTGAGTTTAGTGTACTTTTCTCAGCCTCTGTGCTCAGATCGATGTATTTACTTGTTTACTATCAGCCACTGCCCTGTTTTTACGATTTTACTTATTTATTTTTAGAGAGAGGGGAAGGGAGGAAGAAAGAGACAGACACCTCAATGTGTGGTTGCCTCTCGCGCGCCCCCCACTAGGGACCTGGCCTGCAACCCAGATGTCTGCCCTGACTGGGAATTGAACTGGTGATGTTTTGGTTCATTGACTGGCACTCAAACTACTGAGCCACATGAGCAAGGACACCCCCCCACCCCCGCCAGTTTTTTTTTCAGTACAAACTGTGTGCCAGGCACTCTCCTGTATGTTGGGGATTTAGTACTGGGTAAGATAGATAGGGTCCCTGCCCTCATCTAGTCCACCCTCCCACCACACACACTTTTTGCTATCCTCAGGTTCTTTTTGTGAATTTACAGCTACTTTTCTCTCTTCTTTGTATGGCTTTTCCCTCTTTAACTTATCTGCCTAGAGAAGTTTCTTTGATCATTCTCTTACCTTTTTAACCAGCTCAGATTTTATCCTGTGTTATCTTTACTTCCTCTCAGATAGAGTTGGATAGGCCTTCCTCAGTGGTCTCTCTTAGCTCCTCACTTACGTCCTTCCTGTAGTGTTTATGCTGAAGAGGTTTTTTTAAGGTTTTTAAAACACGATTCTATTTATTTGTTTCTTAGAGAGGGGAAGGGAGTGAAGAGAGAGGGGGAGAGAAACATGAATGTGTGAGAGGAAATGGCTGATTGTCTCTTGCATACCCCCAAATGGGGACCTGGCCCTCAACCCAGGCACGTGCCCTAACTGGGAATCGAAGTGGCAACCTTTTGGTTTTCAGGCTGGCACTCAATCCACTGAGCCACACCAGCCAGGGCTATGTTGAAGAGTTTTAATTATTTGTTTATACATGTGTGTGCCTGTGTGCATGTATATGTGTATATGTACATGCACATACACATATAGCCCTCTCCCATTGCAGTGTGAGCTCAGTAAGGGCTGGCACCTGTGATTTACCATAATACTCCCCCAGCTTAATGCAATAACCCTGGAGATGCTTAATAAATGTTGAGTAAGTGAATGCATAACAAATTATCAGATGAACTTACTTTGTACAGAGCACTGTGGGGCTTGTAAATATGACTAAGCTCTGTCTGCAAGGACTAACCATGCAGTCAGGGAGATAAGAAACAGATGAGTAGGCTGCAAGGTGATTTGTGATAACCTCGTTGCCGACTTTGAGATGAGAGGACGTTTTTCTCATTTGTGCCAGGCATTGTGAGGGACACACAGAATGATAGGGCACGCCTTTTCAGTCACATGGGCCTGAGAGCAGGGATCGGCAGTCTCTGGTTTGTGGGCCACACCACACCTGCTGCCCACTTTTTGTTCAGCCCATGAGCTAAGAATGATATTTTGCATTTTAAAAATTGTTTTTATAAAAAGAATATTTGGTGGTATGTGAAGTTACGTGAAATTCAGATTTTAGCAAATTTTTGTGATTTTTGTTGGAACACAGCCCCATCATTTTGTTTAGCCACCATCCATGGCTGCATCTGTGCTGCAGCAGCAGAGCCGAGCAGCTAGAACAGACACTGTCAGGCCTGCGATGCTGAAGGGTTTCCTCTGGCCTCCTATAGGAACAGTCTGCGCACCTTGGATTAGAGGTGGGAGAGATTCACCTGCAGTCCAGAAGAAGGAAAGACATTCATATTGAGAGGATTACTTTGAGTTAAGGGAGTGGGACTGAAGCTTTACAGCTGAAATGATGATCTAGCTTAACCTTTTATTTTAGAGTAGTCAGAAGATTAAAAACCTTGTCAAAGTCCGCAGGATGTGTAGGGGCAGTGTCCACTGGAGTGCCTGGAGCAGAAGCTCTGAGAACCTTAGAGGGTGATAAGATTATGGCTGGTGTACGGCCTTTACGACTGGCCTCGCCCTTGAAAAATGAGAGTGAAGGACAAACTAAGAACAGACTTCCTTTCTCTCTCTGAATGTAATATTTCTTCTTTCTCTTGTTTCTAGAAGGCCTTTGAGCCCTACTTCGAGATTTTGGAAGTGTATTCCACAAAGGCCAAGAATTACGTAAATGGGCATTGCACCAAATATGAGCCCTGGCAGCTAATTGCATGGAGCATCCTGTGGACCCTGCTGGTAGTCTGGGTGTACGACTTTGTCTTCCAGCCGGAGAGTAAGTACACTGTCCTCTCTGTAATGGTAGGTGGAGGTTCATTAGCTCTGGAACGCTTGCTGATGGATTAGACTAATTTCTTGCCTTTTGGTTCGGTTCTGATTTTTAAAATCTGTTTAAATGGGAAGTGGGACATTGTCTTCCGACTGGTAAAGTTATAAGAGGACTCTCGTGTAACTAGTGCTGTTTGTCATGTTGAGTTTCTTGGACTTGGCAGCTTACGTAAAAGCTTGTGAGAAGTGAGTCATCATAGGGATCCACACGCATCTGAGTGGGCACAGACCTTCTCCACTTGCGGCTTCTCGTCTGGAATGTGAGCATGCTGCTTGGACCATCCACAGCAGGGACTTCCGCTTTCACTCTCGGCCGCCCTTTCAATGGCAGGTGGAATTGGAGCCGCACTCACACAGTGGTCATTTCTGTGTCTGCTGTGTGCCAGGCACTGGACCAGGCTCTGGGGGGAACTACACAAGTAATAGGGGGTCCCTGTCTTCTTGCAGTTGAACTTGAGATGTCAGGGGACAGTACACTTTGAGCTTCCTGGGGAGTGCCTCAGGGAGCAAATTGACATGGGGAAGAGGAAGCCACTTCGGAGTACTGAAGATGAGAAGCCTGTTAGCAGTCAGTTTGTAAATCATCCTTCCCAAGGTCCTGCCCACCCTCCCACCCCACCCCTCCCCTCCCCTCAAAAAAACCCCCCAAACACCTGGTTGCATGTTTCCTCCTTATGAATTCCTTTTCCCTCTGCAGGCCTGTTTGGTAAGTGAGTGGTGGGGGAGGGCCGTGGGGGTTCTGTAGCGCTCACCACCTACACTTCTTTTTCACTCTCAGTCTGGCATCCTGATTAACTTCCTTGGAATAAGAAACCAGTACCATGGAAGAGATTTGCTTGGCACTTCTCATTTGTTTAAAATTTCCACAGCTTTTTTTTTTCCTGGTAACATCTGTTTGAAGGGGCTCTCTAACTGTGTTTTTTCTGCTCTTCTTTCTCTTCCCCCAGGAAAGTCAAATGAGAAACTAAATTCTGTTCATCTGTCATGCAGATGGCCCCTGAACCTTTCTAGTAATCCTGTGTAGTAGAATTAGTTCACTCTAGCTTTGAAACCGAGGCCACAATTTCAGCTTCTTAGTCCTTGCAAGATTTTCTTTTCTTTTCTTTTTGAGAGAGAGAGGGCGGCGGGGAGAGACATCAGTGTGTTGTTCCACCCATCCATACATTCTTTGGTGGATTCTTGTATGTGCCCTGACTGAAGAGCGAACCCACCGCCTGGCATATGGGGACAACGGTTTAAGTCACCAAGCTACTGGCCAGGGCACCTTGCAAGATTTTCTCATAAACTCTGACAGATTAGACTGACTGACCTTCCTGTTGCCTCTGCTCTGTGGTTTGGAAGTGGACAACCCCTTGTCTTTCTGCTCAGGCCTTCCCCTTTCCCGGGGAGCATTTGAGTCTGTGGAGACCACCGTCCTGTCCTTCCAGGTGAACGGACTTGTTCCAGAGGACTCCAGGAGCAGCAGTGGATGTACTTGTCTCGATTTCCCTTTTTATTGTGATAAGATATACATGCATGAGATACAGTTTACAATTTTTCCCACTTTTAAGTGTACAGTTCATGACATTAAGCACGTTCACATTGTTGTGCGGCCATTGCTACCGTCCCTCTCGAGAACTTTTCCGTCTTCCCAAACTGAACCTCTGCCCCCGCTGAGCAGTGACTCCTTATTCCCTGCTCCCCCCGGCTCCGGACAGCCATTATTCTGCGTACTCTTCCCTTTAAGGTGCTGCGTTTATGAAACCAGACTGACGTTAGAGATTTGTATTTCTTTGCTCTGACTCGTATTAGCTTTAGGTGTTTACTTCTTTTTATAGCTCTGCAGTCCATGATGCCCGTGTGCATTTTGCTCGATTGGTAGTAGAAGCATAGCTGTCTGAGGTCCTGGTACTTACCACCTTTAGTGTTCTAAAAAGAATGTGCTGGCCTCGGAGCATTCCACAAGAAAATTATAGTAGCAGGGTGTAAATGATATGTGCCACCTAAGTCTTTGTGAGCTGGACTCAGCCATTTCTGTTGTTTTATTTTTAATATTTTTTAAATTATAGAAGTAGTATGTGTTCATTGTAGAAAATCAAATGTAGATATGCCATAAAAACAAAATTAAAATCTTGTTACCTAGATATAAGCACTGTTTATGTCTCTCTTTCTACATATATATATTTGCTTTTTTAGATTTTTATTTATTTATTTTTAGAGAGAGGGAAAGGGAGGGAGAAAGTAAGGGAGAGACACATCAATGTGTGGTTGCCTCTTGCACACCCCCTACTGGGGACCTGGCTCACAGCCCGGCATGTGCCCTGACTGGGAATGTAACTGCAACCGTTTGGTTCTCAGTCTGGCACGCAGTCTGCTGAGCCACACCAGCCAGGGCTGTGTATCTGTATTATGCGTGCATACAAAATGTAGTTTTTGTAGGTCAAACATTGTTGAATATTGGCAGTTTCATATAGTTTTACACACATATATATGTATGCACACAACACACTTACTTTGTAACTCCAGCTTGAATTTTAGACACATAAAGATGTCTTCCCTCCAGACGTTGCAGATCATTTTCAAAGCAGTGCCATTTTTTGAGAACCTTGCTCATGTAGAAGTATTTATTCTACCTATCACTGAACAATCAAGTTATTTCTGGTATATTGCCCCAGGAGAGTCCAAAGTCTGGGCTAGTGATAAACTTTGCTGATCTTGAAACTTCATTCTTCTCTGAGGGGGAAAGGGTACTTTTAGAACACAGGATGGATGCCAGGGTAGATAAGAAAAGGAAGCAGCTGGAGGAATGGGGTGGGAGGGTGTGCAGGGGTTAGCAGCTCCCTAAGGTGTTCACTCTTCCTTGTTTCTGCCCTGGGGTCATCAGCTCAACTCCTTGCAACTGGGTGTTGATTTTAACTGAGATCGTCCACAGTTCATCAACAGAGTCAGTTATATTGGAGGAGGGTGGGGTAATGCTCTTCCAGTTTTTAGCCACGGCAACACCCTTAAGTTCCCTTCCTCACAGGAAATGGGCATTAGTATAACCCCTGCCTTACCTAGTCATAGGGTAATGTGAGACTTGAGTGGCAAAGTTTGTGTGAAAGGAACTTGGAAACCGTAAGGGCCATGCATTGTTATTCTTACACTACCATTTCCTGTTTTATTACCTTAACGTACTCCAATTACTTTTCTTTCTGTGCCTCTGGGGACTTTTACCAGATGTGAAACCCTGGGATGTGGAGGCTGAATATTTTAAATATCTGTGTATAAGGGACCCACCCAGTTCAAACCTATGTTGTTCAAGGGCCAACTATAGTCAAATAACAAGCAGTTTAAATATCATACTAAGTTATAATAACATTTAAAAATAGTTTAAGAAGAGTTTTTAATAATGTAGAAAATGCCTAAAACGTGAAGAGTGTGCAATATTGTACATACAGTATTGTACACTTACATATCACGGTGTGTAGAACAGGGGACTGAAAGGAAATATTTCAGAATTTAAACAAAAAAAGTAACTACAGACAAGTGGTTGCAGTCCCTTTGTCTTCTTTCTCAGCCTGTGTCTTAGTAAGCTGGTTTGTCCCAGACATGTATAGAGGGTTGACCACAGCCTAGGCTGTATAGAGCGGGCAGAGACAGCGAGTAAAGATGCAAGACTTCGTATGTGAATACCGAAAGAAGGTACACGCACATGCTGTTGTTGTTAAGAGTGCACTCCTTGCACCCAGAGAAACTGGAATGCCCCAATAGCCTAGGAATGCAGTAAAAGTTCATGTTCAGTTCATGCCTTGCATGAAAGCTAGGTCTCTATTCCTTATACGCATTTGGGGTAACTGAAGATTTCTCTCATGCATTTGACGCAGCACGGAACCCTGTGAGTCTAGGACTAGAAAAACAAAGACTGCACTTAAATCCCCACTGCATCACTGGTTCGATCCGTGGTCTTGAGCAAGTTATTAGTGCTCTGATCTGTTGTTGCCTGTGGATAGTAGGTAGTGCCTTCTGTGCCAGCCTCAAAATCTTGTTGTTGGAGTCAGTTGAGATACACTGAATGTCTGAATGTCAGTTCATTAAAGTAGAATGGTCTGTTTCGATGCCATGTGTTTATAATTCTTGTAATAACAGGATCAGAATTCCCAATTTGTCCTGCGTACTCCCCGACAGAAGTAGTCTACTTGGTGTCGTGGTATTGAAGGCCTTTAGGTCCAGAAATGTCATGAGGGTGTGTGTCGAATGAGAGCCTGGAGCTGAGATCCTGCAGAACGCATGTGTCGGTCATTTGTTCTGTGGGCGTGAAGAGAAATGTTGGCCCCCGTAAACCTTGAGAAGGTAAAAACCTCGGGAATACACATGTCATTTGACCCAGCAGTTCAGTTTCTGGGAGTTCATCCTGGGTATTCTCTTACATATGCAGTGTGGTCACAAGGTGGGTTCAGTATGACTTGTAATAGCAAATATTAGAAACAGCCTAAGTGTCCCTCAAGAAGGGGCAGGTTAAATAAATTATGGTGCATCAATATAGTGAAATCCTCTAGCAGGGGTGTCCAACCTGGGGCCCACGGGCCGCATGCAGCCGAGGATAGCTGGGAATGAGGCCCAACAGAAAATTGTAAATTTACTTAAAATATGATCAGATTTTCTTTTTTTATGATTATGTGTCACAATGTATTTAATGTATGGTGCAAGACAACTCCTCTTCTTCCGCTGCGGCCCAGAGATGCCGGAAGGTTGGACACTGCTGAGAGTTTGTGGCTATAAAAAACGAGCGACGAAGCACTGATCTTTGAGAGAATATCCCTAAGTAGAAAATGAAACTGTAATGCAGTGCTAGAATATGCCACCTTTGGTGTGAAGCTAGAGACGAATAAGAATACATCTTTATTTTTGCTTGTATATACATAGCAAATTCTAAGAGGGTATTCTAGAAACTAATAGTAGTGTTTACTTGCAGGTAGGATGAAGGCCTGGGGGTAGCTGAGAGAGGAACTTTTAACTCTGTGTGTATGTTTATTTATTTTTTACTTTTTGAACCATGTAAATGTATTACTTATTTAAAAAATTAAATCTAAAAGGCTTTTTATTCTAAAGGAAAGAAACTCTACCTCCATGATCCAAAGGCGAGTGAGGTTGTAGAGCACATGTTGGAGTAGTCCTTGCCTTATGACTAGCATATTGTATCCATGAAGTGTGCTGGGGTAACAGAACCATTCGTTTCTTACAGGTTTATGGTCGAGGTTCAAAAAGAGATGCTTTAAGCTCATCAGGAAGATGCCTATTGTTGGTCGAAAGGTAAGTGGAATCTGTATAGATCTTGTGCTCTACCCCACCCCCACGGTTATTGCACCTCTTTCTTTTTAGTTACTGAACCTAGTATTCTCAAGTGGGAGGTGTGATTTTGCCCTCCACCTCCAAGGAACATTTGACAATGTTTGAAGACATTTTTGGTTATCAGAATGGGAGGGGAATGCTGTCGGCACAGTGGATAGTGTTCAGGGATGCTGCTAAGCACCCTGCAGTGCCCAGGACAGCTCCCCCACCGCAGAGAGTCATCAGGCTCAACGGTCAGCAGCCCCCAGGGTTGAGAAACCCGACTTAACCTTTTCTCCAACATGTGACCAAAGGAGAAATGGGATGTCTGTCAAGAATTTGGAATTAGAAAACTTGACGGAAGTGACATGATGCTATGGGGCAATATCTGGCTGGGCTGATTTTAGGTATCTATGTAAGCGGGGGTTAGGTGCTTATGTGGTTTAGGTCAGAGTTGGCTAACTTTTTCTGTAAAGGGCTAGGTGTGAAACATTTTCGGCTTTGCGGGCCATACCAAGTCTTTCACCACCTCCTCAACCCCACCCATGTAGAGGAAATGCAGTGATAGGATCATAGGTAAAGAACAGCCTGGCTTTGCGCCAGGGAATCTTTCCTTACAAAAATGGGCGTCTGCCAGGTTGTGGTTTGTGGATCCCAGGTTTAGAAACTTAGATAACAGCTATTCTCCTGCTCTTTGTACCTGTGGGTAGTCTAGTACGCTCCTTTCACCATATCTTCTCTACCCTCATCCACCCTGAGGATAAGATAGCCACCTCTGCCCCCTTGCAGCGGGCTCTTATCGCAGATGTAGATAAACAGGGCAGGCCCCACTGCCAGCTGTAAGGCAGGCACTAGAGTTCCTGATGTCTTCATTTCCCCCAGTACCCCACCCTTCCCCTCAACTTCCCTTCAGTCTTTCTTTTACTTCTGGCTTTCAGTTTGCTTTTCTGGCCAGACGAAAAAGACATCAGGTATCCTTAGCCTTTGACTGAAGTTCACTGAGACCCTGTACTAACTCCCCAACTATGTATTTTTGGGTCCATTTCCTGTGGGGAAGTAGAAGTTATATGGGGTGGAGATGGAGCATAGCAGTACAGAGACAGGCTTTTATTTCACCTCAAATTATTTTAAACCCCCAAATTAAATGTACTTCAGTCACTATAGAATAAAGGGTAGGGTAAGAGGGAAGATTTATACTGGATGGACTAGCTCACAAAGAATAATAGTATTTCCTCTTATCAGTCCCTGTATTTTTTCTGCCCTTTTTCTTCATGCTTTTCTCTTTCAATTTTAGATTTTGAGACAATCCTAGGGTTTCAGAACCCACTCTTAAATTTTTATATATGTATATATATAAATTTATATATTTATAAATTTTAAATATATATATTTTAAAGAGTTATTTAATTTTAGAGAGGGAAGGGAGGGAGAAAGAGACAGAGAGAAACATCAATGTGTGGTTGCCTCTCATGCGTCCCCTACTGGGGACCTGGCCTGCAACTCTGGTATGTGCCCTGACTGGGAATCGAACTGCGACCCTTTGGTTTGCAGGCCAACACTCAGTCCACTGAGCCACACCAGCCAGGCTTAAATTTATAAACTAACAGAATTGGATGGGACTTAGGAGAACTAAGTCCTAAGGTATAATCAATCACCTTTTTTTTTAGAAGCAGATTTTGAGGCTTAGAGACAGAGTTACTTGAATGAGCATGTGTGTGTCCGTCTCGTTCCTTCTCTTACACTCACGCAGCACATGTTTGCTGAGCCTGTGCTCAGCGTCAGGTATTATTCTGGGTCAGTGGTGAGTGAGACCTGGTCCTTCGTCCATTTTAGCAGGAAAGACAAAATAAATAAACAAATACATAAGAATTTCATTTTGAAATTAATGCTGTGAAGTAATTAAAATGTGTTAGAGGATCTGAGGCAAGAATTAGGGGTGGGAAGTACCTGCTGTGCTTTCTGAGGTAACTCTCATCGTTTTATGCCTGTTTTATTAGAACAGTATATAGTCTGTGCGTGGAAGTCCAAGTTCAGCTTTTATAGCTTGTTACTATTGCATGCCCACCACAGCATAATTCTTTATTTAGAACTTAAAAATCAGCCCTGGCTTGTGTGGCTCAGTGGGTTGAGCGCTGGCCTGGGAACCAAAGGGTTGCCAGTTTGATTCCCAGTCAGGGCACGTGTCTGGTTTGTGGGCCAGGTCCCTAGATGGGGCGGGCGGGGCGGGTGCGAGAGGCAACCACACATTGATGTTTTTTTCCCTCTCTTTTTTCCCTGCCTTCCCTTCTCTCTAAAAATAAATAAATACAGTCTTTTAAAAAATGATCTTCATGTTCATCACATGCCCCAGCACTCCAGGGCTGCCCGGGACTGTGGCCTCTGTGCCCTGCCAGTGCCTGTCTGTCAGACTGTTGTAGACACATTTTCAAGGGGTGGGAGGACCACATCTAAGAGCTAGAGATGGGAAAATCTGAACGTTTGGACTGAGAGCTTGGGCATCTTGCTGGAACCCCATCACTGTAACACACACAGGTTGTAGCCACTCATCCTCACCTACTACCCCAGCGTCTCTTACCGCAAGTGGCGGCCCCTGCCACTCTACCTCTTTACTCCCCTCTGCACCCTGCCCCCAGTGCTTTTCATGACCTTTATTTTCTGTTTCTGCTGCTAAAATTAAGTTTCATGAAAATACGATTTTCCCCTCTTGTGTACCACCTCAGTTTGTGTTGTTCACTGTGTATTCCTGGCCCATAGTAGTAGTTCAACAAATATTTATTGTGTAAATGAGTGAATGAGCAAAAGATCATGTCCCAGAAACTGTTGCTATGAGGTTGGAAAAGAAATAACTGGAGTTATTTCTTTGTGATAAACTATGTAGCAGAAAGGACTTTTAGCTCCTCCTAGCACTTAAGGGTCAAGCTGTCGGCAGGGTGCGGACAGCCTGCGGAGACAGAAGGCAGCCTTCCTGGCACTGCCCGGGCTGCGGGAGTGCTGTGGGGCCTCCCGATCCTCCCGTGCTCTGTACCTGTCTGTGAAGGAGCTCACCTCTTGCACAAGCACCAGAACCCCTTTCACTGCTGCTTGGTGGCTATTTATGGCTCTGTCTTCATTTCTTTAGCAGATACACTGTAGCTGCTGCCAGGGCAGGAATAAGGTCCAAATATTGCCCTCAAAGATGTGCTGACATGAGCAAATGCAAACCAAGTAAAGCAGCGGTGATGTCGACATGGCAGAGGAAGGGGGTGCGGGTCCAGTGCATCTTTGACCTTCAGAGCGAATGCTGACTTTTCAGGCTTCTAAGAAAGTGTCGCACAGTCAGACTGTCACAGTATCCCCTTAAGAAGCACCCCCTGTTTTCTGTCATGTTTGTGTGGTGCCCAGCCTTGTTAACTTTGTTCTTCTTGCCTTTGGAGATCCAAGATGAGATGAACAAGGTCAAGGATGATATCAGCAAGAGCCTGTCATTTCTGCAAGTGGATAAAGAATATGTGAAAGTTCTGCCCTCTCAAGGCCTGAGCTCGGCTGAAGTTCTGGAGAAGCTCAAGGAGTACAGCCGCCTGGGTATGATTCTCGGCACATGTGTGCTGCTGCCTTCATTAACCTGGCGAGGGCTGTCTGTTGTGTTTGTGAAGGTTAAGAGTACATCCTGCCTGGTACTTGTATGTTCAGGAGGGCTCAACCCCTGTCTCAGAACGTTGGCTTTTATATTTTAGAAATTATATTCAGATTCATCATCCATCAAACAAACCAATCTCAGAGCAATGGACCTTGGTTCCGTTTCCTTTTGTGAACTGAATAAAACAGACACATTTGGGTTTTTTCAAAAGAAAATATGTGTAATAAAAATGAAATACAGATCTATTATAGAAATTGTAAAATCTTTATAAATGCAAAAAAGCGACTATAATCCCTTCATCAAAAGATGAACGCAGATTTTGTGTGTACATGCATGTATATCAGAATGTTTGTAGTGTTTTTATGTAATAAACATACCCACACGAATATACATGCATGAGGAAGGATGGATGTACCAAGGACAAGAAGCTCGATGTTTAAGGGTACAGCCCATGCCCTGGCTGGTGTAGCTCAGTGGGCTGAGTGTGGGCCTACGAACCAAAGGGTTTCCGGTTCGATTCCCAGTCAGGGCACATGCCTGGGTTGTGGGCCAGGTCCCCAGTATGGGGTGCATAAGAGGCAACCACACATTGATGTTTCTCCCCCTGTCTTTCTCTTTCCCTTCCCCTCTCTCTAAAAATGAATAAATAAAATCTTAAAAAAAAAAAAGAGTACAGCCCATGAAGTCAGCCTGGATTCACATCCTAGTTTGGCCACTTCAGGTATTACCTCAAGTGAGTTACTTAACTTCTCTGTGCTTCAATCTCTGTCTCTCTGCAATGGGAATAATAATACTACTTGAAAGGCTGGTTATGGAGATTAAATGAGGTTACACATGTAAATGTAGAATACCTGGCATATAGAAAGTGTCCAATAAATGTTAATTATTATGAACACAAATGCATCTTAATTACAGATTAAAGTCATGATGAATACTTTTAAAAAGTAGGCTTTTTAGTTTGGCATAATTTATATTAACTTCCGTATGAGACTATTAACTGAACTACAAATTCTATTCCAATTTCACAGGTTTTTTCCACTAATGTCCTTTTTTCTGTTCCAGGACCCCACCCAGGATACCACATTGCATTTCAAAAAATACCTTTTAAAATGTCTAATTAAAATGTGTTGAGCTTTTGGCATTGGCTGGTATAAAGTTAGATAGCGTCCGGGATGTGTAGGTGGTACAAAGCAGGGGTGAGCACTCTGAGACCTGGGCAGGAAAGGTTTCTGGATGCTGAGGGCTGGTTGCTGCCACCGCACTGCCTTCCCTTCCATTTTTAAGTCACTATCCGTCGGCATACTCCGTAGCACCAGTGAAAGAACTGGAAATGAAACCATGTATCCTATTTTCGAAAGTCTGGTGACCTCTGGTCTGAAGGGCATACCTGTACAGAGCAGTGCCCTCTAAGGAAAGTGGGGAAGTCCAGCTGGCAGCAGGCCAGAGCTGGGCAGACTGCGTGGGATTGAGGAATTAGTCTCGACATTGACTACTCAGTCCTCGGCTCTCTCGTTGGAGCTGAAGATCCTGGCTTTGTAGAGCCTGTGGCTGTCGTCTCTAGTTAAACTAGTGTGTTTCTGTCCTGGCTTTCTCACTACCCTCTTTCAGTGGAGCACAGCCAAATTGTAGCAAAAGGACGTGAGACACCCACATTGACCGATTTGTTGGTCTAACCTAGAGAGTATAATGTGGAACCTCAGACAGGAAGTGGAAAGTTGGACCTTATATTTTGGTCAGGAGCCTCATCCCAACATTGACTGTTCCTGATCCCGAATGTTGCAGCCGATGTTGCTGGAAGCAGGTGCCTGATTCTGTGTGGTTTTCCAGGCCCATCGGAAGGAGGGGCAGAGTACTACGATGTCTCATTGTGGCTTGCCTCATCTTGGATTCAGTTCCCTGACTCCAGCCCTGATGATTATAGACTGAAATGTTACTTCTGTGTTGCTCTTCTCTGCCAACTCTGCTCATAACAATTCCCTCATTTCCTGTGACTAGACAGAAGGAAGCAATTGCTGAAAAAGGCCAAGCTGATCCGTACAGAGAACAGAAAATGAATATATAGCTAGAGGAGAGTTTTTCTGCTGTTGGAAGGTAGTTGGCAGTCGGGGAACAGGACAGCGTTATTATTGGACTATATTGTCCCCCGGTGCTGTGGGCATCTTTTTCAGACTGTGGTTGATACTAATTGATGATCTTTATTTTGCTGTGATGGCTCTGTTGGAATTTTATCTTTCTTGATGTTAATATAAGGACATCTTTGGATTTCCACTCAAACCCTTGTTTTTCTTTTGTACTCAGAGAGGATTCTTTGCATTTCTTCTTGTTAGAACCTACCTTTCTTCCCCAAAGCTTTCTGCTTACTGACCCAGTGGTCTTTCCTTTCTCTGCAGACGTCTCATGGCAGGAGGGGAGAGCCTCCGGGGCGGTGTACAGCGGGGAGGAGCAGCTCACCGAGCTCCTGGTGAAGGTGCGTGCCCGCGCTCGGGGGGAGTGTGTGTGGTCTCTGCCAGTTTATATGGCCTCATTTTTGTCTCTTTAGTTTTGTGATTTAAAAATTACTCTAAGAAAAGTTTGTTAAAATAAAACTAAAGAAGTTTAAGAAGTTTCTCTTCACCCAAACAGGTGAATATGTGTAATCTTGTCAAAGACATCCTCAGTCTGTAGTCGGGTCAAGTATTACTTACGTCTCCAGGCTTCACTGACACCCTGCACAGAAGGCAGTTACCAGGGCGGTCCCAGCGTTTGAGCTTATTGGCAATGAGACGTATTTTGTTTGATGAGAAGAGACGAGGGTGGAAACTTGGTCATTGTTTCCTGCACTACCCGACTCTCGAACCAGATGACCTGAGAGTGAGCAGTGGTCTCACTTATAATTAAAATAATTCCCATTTTGTGTTGCCTTTAGCATCTTCCATTTTTATCAGATTTGTCTTTGAGATCCCATTTTGCCATATAAAATTGGCATTGACTGGTGGCTTTAAATTTAAGCCTTTGTGTTTGGTTATCACACTCATAAAGCTGCTTATGTCTTATTAAACATTATAGATTTTGCAGCTGTGTCTTGGCATAATTCTCCAATTTCTGTGTTTAGAAATCCTTCAGTGGCTTCATGTCATCTACAGGATAAAATGCAAGTTGCTTATGAGACAGAAAACACGAACCCCTTCGGAGCCAGCTCCCACCTGGTTCTTGCAACCATTCCTGTCACTCCTGCCTTTTCCTTTTACCGAGTGCACCTGGCTGTGATGTTTTCTTCCTTTCTCCTCTTTACTCCCCCTGTTCTGAAGGGTGAATTCCCCTTTATCTCTCAAGGTTCCACTCAACAGACACCACCAGACCGTTGAGGACATTCATTATTCCCTCTTTAAGGCCCTTTACCTCTACATGCGCACATCTAGTATTGCACTTGGAACAATATCTGCTTTGTGCCAGATACTTAAGCGCTTTGCATGTGTTCTGTTCTTTGCTTATCGCTGGAATACTATCGGATCAGCACCTCAATTACCCCTTTTAGCATATGAGATATTACACAGCTAGAAGTGATTGGCAAAGCCAAACCTTCACACTAAGTCTTCTTGGTGTTCTAGTCTGCTTTTAACCACACTTACACTTCCTCTCGTACCACACTGTAAGATAATTTATTTGCATGTCTGTCTCCTCCACTATATTTTGAACATAATCTTACCATTTTTCTAGTTTCTAATGTGCCTAACACCTAGAAACTTTTGTTTAGTGTATGATTCTTGGTCCTGTCTAGTATAATTGTCTTACTTCATACCTGCTTGCATTTCGCTGTAGGCTTATGGAGACTTTGCATGGAGTAACCCACTGCATCCAGATATCTTCCCAGGACTACGGAAGATAGAGGCCGAGATCGTGAGGATAGCTTGTTCTCTGTTCAATGGGGGCCCAGATTCCTGTGGATGTGTAAGTATTTGCAAGTGTTGTATAGTGATCTTTTTTTAGCTTAAAATGGAATTTATTTAAAATGTTTTACTTTTTTTTATTATGCAACTAATGTGTGATTATTGTAGAAAGGTCCAGATTAGTAGCAATTTAAAAATACTGCTTATAGTTTAGTAATTCACAGAGTATCAACATTTTGGCATGGAGTCTTCTGGATATTTTTTCTCTTCAATTTTTTACTTTGAAAAAGCTACGTAAAGTTGCTAGAGTTAAGAACACTCTGCATTCATTAAATACATGTGCCCTATCTGCTCTCTACTCTTTTCTTTTTCTTCCTTCATTTCTTTCATCCACCCACCTACTTTCCTACCCATTTACTTACACAATTTTGTTGAACCAGCTTGTAATTTTTTTGATATGCTTTCTCATTTTACTTGAGCTGGAAGTTTTACTTGATTTTGTTGTAAATTGAATCTTAGTTAGTTTAGGAATAAAAGAAGAGGAATCATGGTATTTAAAAACACACACATTTCAACCATTCTTTCCAGTAGATGTTTGTTAGTTTCCTAAACTGCGGTTGATAGACTTCTGTTTAGATTTATTACAAACTGATAATGTCTACTCTAGAAAAAAAAATCTTAGCTTATGCAGGGTAGAGAGTTGGATTTAACCATGGTAGCCTAGAGGTGCTAACCCTATCATATACATAAAAGTAATCATTATAATATCTGCAAATGTAATTATTGAAGGGCCTGCCAAAGACAATAACATTTCATAGTCACTTTTTTGTTTTTGTGCCAGTAAGCTGTGTTGTTACACTGTCATGCTGGCACCATTGTAAAGCAACATGTTCAGATATTCAGTAAATGGCAAAACTGGTATTCCTGGCATTCCCTTCCCAAAAGTAATTCCAGAACTGTTAAAAACAGAACCAGTCGTGATCTCGCAACAGGTCCCCTAACGGCACTTTGCTGAATGGGGCTACAGAGAAGGGAGATGACACCATGCTCACAGTATGTGGGTGCTCTGCTGTGCCAGTACGATGAACTGTTGCGAGACCAGAGGCTAAACAACCACGAAACAGTTTGCCCTTACCCAGTAAAGATGAAGACAAGATACATGTCTTAATGACTCTCCTTCACCCCCTCCCCCCCACTCCCCCTCCTATAACCCTCCCCTTCCTCTCTCCCTTCCCCACTTCTGTTCCACCTCGTTTTTATTTGATGAAATATTCCATGTTTGTCTTATACGTTTCTGCTCCAGACCCAGAGTCAGCCATTTGTGCAGTCAGGAAAACCCTACCTGTAAAGGTGTAAGTAACTGTTGGAACTACTGATATTCTCAGTAGCAACAGTGGTTGGGGCCGTTGTGGGTAGGTGAGCAGACTGGCCGGGAGCTGACAGTGCAGCTGTGTGTGTGATCAGTGCAGGGCTTTCAGTAACTCCCTCTTCAGTTGTGTCTAATATACATTTCAGCCTGCCATTGGATTTTTAAACTTTGTTTACTCTATTTTTCATTCTTCAGAATTCTGTTTGGTCCTTTTAAAAAAAATCTTGTCTTGGCTGGTGTGGCTCAGTGGATTGAGTTCCAGCCTACGAAGCAAAGGGGTTGCTGGTTCGATTCCTAGTCAGGGCATATACCTGGGTTTCAGGCCAGGGGCCAGTAGGGGGCGCATGAGAGGCAACTGCACATTGATGTTTCCCTCATTCTCCCTCCTTTCCCCTCTAAAAATAAATAAATAAAATCTATAAAAACTACAAATCTTTTTGGTTCTTTGTTGGTCCTTGACTTATAGTTTATTTAAATAATTAACACATAATTATTTAATAATGATTATTTAATTAATAATTAAATAATTATTTAATTAATAATTAAATAATTATTTAATTATTAATTAGTGCAGGGCTGATTAATAAGTTAAATTATTTAAATAATTAAATAATTATTTAATTATTATTATTTTGCCCATAATTATTTTATATCCTCCTGACAATTCCATTATTCATGAGCCTTATTCTGTTTCTGCTGGTTTCACTTGCTGTCTTGTATCCTTGTAGTTGTGATTTTTTAAAAAACAATAAACCACTTATTTTCCTGGGAATTTAGCTTTGAGGCCTAGATTGAAGTTAAGTTCTTCCAAAAAAGGTTTGTAATTCTGCCAGTTTCCGGGGAGTTGCTGGGAAGTGCTACCACATTGGACCAATTTTAGTGCGATTCTCAGCTTACAGTTTTGCACTACAGAAGTGGTGCGAATTCAGACCACAAACCCACATAAAAGCCGTCTCGTTATACCTTCTTTAGAGATCATTATTCTTCTTTACCTGAAAAACGGTCAAGAAAAGCAATTTTTCTTCATGTCCTCTTTTGTACCAGTGGGATTTATTTCTTGTATCCCTCTGACTGTGGGCATAATTCTATTTTCTTTTCAGCCATCTCTCGTTGGCCTCCTTACTGTGGGCAGGCCCTACATTTATCTCCTGTTCACAGGGCAGAGTGAGTGTTTAAGGTCCCTAGGGGTTGGTGGCAACCCTCAGCATTCAAACCAGTTTTGTTACTCACTTATCTTGCAGGATTTTTGATTTGGCTTTGTTTGTAGTTCCAGTATATCCCTTTATGTGAGCTCAGTGGTGGATGTTAAAAAAATTAATGTTTTATGAGGCTTTTTAGCTGTTCAGGTAGGAGGGTTGCCCAGGGTGTATAATGTGAAATTGCTGGAACTAGAAGTTCCATAACTGCTTTTCCCCCCCACGTGAGAGACCTTTGTGTATTTGAAAGCCTCTTCACTTCTGAATCTTCTCTTCCCTGTGTGTTTCCTAAGTGACTCAGCTGTTCATTAGAGAATACGATTTCCAGCTGGGTTGCCGGCCATCCCCGTCATTCTTCTCTGGGGGCTTTTTGGTTATCTGACTGGCCAGGTGGACGCCGTTCTCCAGGGGCTTCTTCAGGGGTGGAGCGGCATCTGTCTTTCAGTCCCTGCCTTACTTAACTGGGTTCACTAAACTTACCTTAAATCTTTCCTGTAAGTCAGTCTTTGTATTCTCAGCAGTGTTTATTATGTTTCTATGTATGTATTAGTTCTGTATTGATGCTGTTCAGAACTTTGGTTTTTTAAGGTCTGCAGTCTCATTTTGTTGTTTGTGTTTGGCCTTTCTGCTCTTGCTTTCTTGAATTCGTGTTCTTGTGCTATTTTGTCCTATAGTGAGAAACAGTTATGAGAAACTTCCTTCTGCTCCATAGGTGGTTACCTTCGGAGTTGGGCTTTTATTTTGCATGCTGTTTTTTTCTTGGTATATGCTTGTATCATTTATCATACTATTTTCTTTCATCTTGGCTCTCTCTAGACATTCTATTTGTTATAATGCATGGTGAGTGATTTATTGTCTGAGTATTTGGTTGAGGTAGGGCTCAGCTAAAGCTTTGCTTTACCTGTATTAGAATATAGCTTGGTCTCATCTTCTGAGAATTTGTTAAAAAGTTACCTACCAGAGTTCATTCTGCCCGGCTGGAAGAGAGTAATAGCCTTCAGGCTTTGATGGTGTCTTTACCCCTTTCTGTATTTCTGAAGTGTTCATGTAAAGGACCAGTCCAGACTCCTCTCCTCGGTTTGCTTGTCCCTCCCTCGCCGCCATGTCCCTTACTCACTGATTGAAGATTAGGAGAGAAGATAAGGAAACCCCTTCCATTTACTTCTCTGAAGATTTGGGGAGTGTTAATGAAAATTCTCAGGGTTTTGCTAACTCACCCTAATAATTTCCATGGCTTGTAAGAGGGATGAGCAACTAACTGTGTTTTGCTCTTTGCTACAGACTGGAAACTTCTTTTTTTTATTGCCAGTGTTTGAAGTCTGTTGCATCACATTATCTGTCTTTCCTTGTTTGGTTATTGCATGTTTTCACTACTTTTTTTCTTTATTCTTACAGGTATTGAGAGAGAGAGAGTCTCTGAATTAGTTTTAGTCTTCCATCTTAACCCGGAGATCTGCCACTAGGGTATTTGTGTTTTGTTTTTGCTTAGGTCCAGTTAAGCCATGTCTCTCTCATTATGATCTTTTGTTAGTGAGTGTGTTAGGGATCAGGAGGACAGGGTCTAAGATCCACAGTCTCTTTTAACACTTAGACTTTTATAAAATAGCTAATCTCTGGGATTATTTTAGTTTCTCCTCAGTCTTTGGCTCTATCTCTGTATATTTCTTTTTCACTCCCAATGAGCTTGCTGCTTTTGATAAAGCCAGTTCAAGTTCAGAGGTAGGAAACAGGAAGACAAAGCCTAATGCCTGGGCTATTTTTAGGCTATTCCCACTTAAGATATTAAACTCTTGTTCTTTGATCTTCAGCCTTTGACTTTTTTTCCCTTTTATTAACTTTATTTGCCTTGGTGTAGATGAGAGGTGATTTCATATACCAAAGAAAGCTAGGTTGCCCAGGAAAACAGTCTTGGCTTATGGAAGGGCCATTAGGACCAAACATCACCTAAAAGAAGATTTTCCAGCCCTGGCTGGTGTGGCTCAGTGGATCCAGTGCCAGCCTGCCAACCGAGAAGTTGCCGGTTTTATTCCCAGTCAGGGCACACATCTGGGCTGCAGGCCAAGTCCCTGGTTGGGGGCTTGCGAGAGGCAGCCAATGATGTTTCTCTCTCTCTCTCTCTCTCTCTTTCTCCTTTCCCTCCCCTCTCTCTAAAAGATAAATAAAACCTTTAAAAAAGAGAAAAAAGAAAATTTTCCAAATAGGTCATCTTCTACTCTTGTTTTCTGACATACATACCATATATTAGAGTAAGAGTTTTTATAAATGTTAAAAGGAGTTGAGCCCTGCCTGTTGTGGCTCAGTGGATTGAGTGTTGGCCTGCAAACCAAAAGGTCGCCAGTTCAATTCCTGGTCAGGGCACATGCCTGGTGTGTGGGCCAAGTCCCTAATTAGGGGTGTATAAGAGGCAGCTGATCAATGTATCTCTTGCACACTGATGTTTCTATCCCTCTCTTTCTCCCCCCTTTCCTCTCTCTCAAAAAATAAATAAATAAAGATCTTTAAGAAAAGTTGACTGACATAACAAGTAGTTAGTTATTGAGGCTACTACCTTCTTACTTAATAACTAAATTTTTGTTTTTCTTTGTGTGCAGCGGGGTAGAGGAATGGGAGACTAGCAGCATGTTTAAACATAGAATTTAGGGATCAGATTAAGATTTAGAAGTAGGAATGAGGTATCCCTGCTTTTACAGTCAAAAATATACTGGTTAACATTGGTTAACAAATAATGATGTTGATTGGATTAATTATTGGACTAAAAGTAGGACACATGAAGTGAATAACCAGGGTTTGGAAATATTTTTGCTTGTGTCATTACTTGACCTTGGTAAGAGATGGACTTCCCGAAGACTGACTTTGCTGGTCCTTTCCTGACTCATGTGACATTCTGAGGTTTTATGCCAGACCACAGGACATGCTGCTGATTTGCAGAGCTGGCCTCAACTGTAAGCAATTTTGCTTTCTCCAGCACTGAAGTGCAGAGACCTACAAACAAGTATCCTATGCCTAAGTTTAGTGCATTACTTTGTGAATGATCACATGCTTCATATAGACTTCCTGAATCAAAAAATGACTTAACTGCCTTCCATTAACTCCTGACTACTGGGATTTTGTATCTAATGCTATTTTTGCCCTATATAGGACAAAAATATGTGGATATTATTTTAGGAAGTTTCAGTAATCACCCTCTCTCATTCCATCCATCTCTAGTTAAGCTACACTAAATATGAAAATGTAGAAAGTTTTACTTGTTACCAGCAGATGCTAATGGGTGACACTGGGCAGATCACTTCGATCTCTCAGTGGCTCTGTTTTCTCACCTGTATAATGAAAAAGCTAATTAAGATTTAATGAATCTTCAGAAATGGTAACTCTAAGAAAATATCCACCAAGCTCACTGATAGAGCCTTTCTTCTCTGTTTGCTTTAAAGTTATTCTTTTTCGGTGTTACCAGAAGGTAGCCAGACAGGCCTGAGTCGGTCGTGCTTTGCCGAGAGTCGGATCAGTGTTACGGAAGGTTAATTGAGGGTGTGTTCGGTGTCTGCTGATAGGCTTGGTGCTGGGGACGTGGTCACAAACAGAGGAGTCCCGCCCTTTTGAGTCTGTAGCCCGCTGTGGACAGTAGGATGAGTGAAATGAACCCTTTTGTTTCCGCTTTGGTAAAGAAATTTGCCTGTATCAGAGTTGCTGACCTAGTTTCAGGAAAACATTTTATTTCATTTAAAAACATGAGGATTTTTGTTTTGATTTCAGGTAAGATAACAAACTCTAAGTAGAACCTTCTGCTTTTCTCTTTCAAACTTGTCAAAAACTACAAGTTCACTTTGGAATGCTTAAATATCTTTTCTTAGTCTTCTAATGTATTACATAGGTTACTAGAATTATAACTTCATAATTTCACATTCTTCAATGGACATTGATTATTTATTTATTTTTAAAGATTTTCTTTCTTTCTTTTTTGGGGGGGGGCGGGGAGGGAGAAAGAGAAGGAGAGGAACATCAATGTGTGGGTGCCTCTCACGTGCCCCCAACTGGGGACCTGGTCTGCATCCCAGGCATGTGCCCTAACTGGGAATTGAACCGGCAACCCCTTGGTTTGCAGGCTGGCACTCAATCCACTGAGCCACATGAGCAGGGCTGGACACTGAAAATTTAAATCAAAGTCAGTAATCCTGATGCTTTTGAATGCTATGAAGTGCCCTATCTTATCTGCCTTTGGAGGAATTAGTGTGGAAAAGGATTGTGTGCGGATCTGGACAGGTGTGCATTTGTCCATGCAGTGCAGAGCTTCTGCTCATACTGATTTAGTAGTTTTTACTCTTCTGAGCTTGGGCGCAGCCAGCCAAGCCCAGTTTTCCTCCTGGGAGACAGGGCAGTGTCTGCTCTGCGGTGTGTGAGATCTTATCTCTTTCTGTATCAGACACCATCAAGATCAGGGCAAGAAGCTTATGCTGGTGCTATCCCTAGCTTCCCTCCACAGGCAGTATCTCTTCTTTTTCACAGGTGACCTCTGGCGGGACAGAAAGCATACTGATGGCCTGCAAAGCTTATCGGGACCTGGCTGTGGAGAACGGGATCAGAAGTCCAGAGATGTACGCATCTGTGGTTGTGTTGTGCCCCCCGCCTTTAGACTTGTCTGTCTGAAACGCTGCTGTATGGAACACCGCGACAGCCGGTGTGCCGCTGCTCTCCTCCTCTGGGGGTTCTGGTCCTCCTTCCTCTTGTCCTGTGTCCTTGGCCCTTATCCCTTCAGTCACCAGAGTCCTAAATGGATCAGCGGTTTAGTTTTCACAATCATTCCCCCTCTCCCGCACCAGGCCCAGGTTACACGTGATGTACTCATATATACTGTAAGCGAGCGTGAGATCCTTTTTCTAAAGTGACAGAATGACAGGACTGCGTCTTTGAATTCCGCGATATTTGTAATGAATTGTCTGGAGCCTAAGGAAAGCTCTCTGTGTGTTTGAGTTCAGTGAAAGCCAGTTAATGTAATAGGCTGCCTTGGTGGGGTTCTCCCTAAGGAAAATGCAACCTGAGGGCCGTTTTCTGGATGAAAAAGTTTGACATGTTTTTGAGATTTACCCATCTTGCCACCCCATGGACATAATTTTGGTATTTGGTTGCATTTTCTTTTCTCTGCACACCTTCCTTGTGTGGTGTGTTGGGGTTGATGTATTTCTCCAAGTATCCGTGACACTGGGTTTTTCACACATGATCTCATGCTGCGATTCATACTCAGCCTAAGAGAATAAATTGGGCCGCCATCTTTCTTCAAACGTAAGTCTTTGCTGCTTGGCAGTTCCTCGGTAGTAGAGATTCTTTTCCCTTAAAGGGAGTAGGGTAGTTGTAGGAGTGGAGCAGTTGAGGGCAGTCTGGAAGCAAACACTTAGCTGTGACTCAGTTTCCTTTTGCAGTGCTGGTTGTGATGCTGCTCCCAGGCGTGCAGTGCAGACTGGGGTTTTAGGTGGATCATGGTCTTTCAAGGTGGAGGGACCTCTGACCTGATACTTGCCTGCTGCCCGAACGTCCCTGCCAGGCAGCCTCACGTTTGCTGCTTGAGTGTGTATTGTGCCAGGAAGCTTGCTCCCACTGATGTGCCATGTGGGCAGGCAGCCCCTCAGAGGCTCCACTTGATGTTAATCCAACCCAGGCGCCCTGCCCCATTACCTGTCAGCCCTAGTTTTTGGCTTTGGATCCTTTGATGTGAGATTACTTCGAGTTCCTCCTGTTGCCCTGATGATGGCAACATGACAACTACTTCTCCTAAGTACTAGGGAGAAGATTCTCTAGCATATCACTTGACTTCTTTTTGTGCTTAAAAAGTAAAAATATAAACACTCTGGAAATTTTGAGGGAAAATAATCAGAAATGTACTTCTGGGGGTTTAGATTAGCTGCAGACTGTGTGCTCTGGAACCTCTTCTGGGTCTGAGTTTCATCATTCCCTCTTCCCTGTCGTTTAGTGTGGCCCCCCAAAGTGCCCATGCCGCGTTTGACAAAGCAGCCCACTACTTTGGGATGAAGATTATACGGGTTCCACTGAACAAAATGATGGAGGTGGACGTTCGGGTGAGTCGTTCTGAGGGGCCACCGTGTGCCTCGGGCTGTGAGAAGCAGGAGGTGTGCGGTCAGCTGGCTTCCCCAGCGTCACGCACTGGTGGGCTTCGGGTGCCTTTGAAGGCGGCAACCTGAGTTGCGGCGGCTGCCACTGGCACGGTAACTGATTGCAGCTTGAGTCTCTGAAACTCTTCAAGTCTGGTAGGAAGATGAACCTCGTCCCTAACTTGAAATTTGGACCAGGGTTTGGTTTCAGCACCTCAGTTTCTCTTCTCTGTCTGTAAAGTAAGCATGGGCTAACTTGTCCCAAGATTCTCACTGCGGTTTTGATTGGTCTGAATTAGTACTGTTGCCATCATAATAGTAATGACTGCCATCATAATAGTAATGATTCTTCCATAAGTAAACTATTCCAATTTGTTAGCGCTAGCATTATCCCCGCCCTCACCTTTATTGAGGCGTTAATGGACAATTAATTGACAAATTAAAAATTGTATCTATTTAAAGTGTACAACTTAATGTTTTGATATCAGTATACATTGTGAAGTAAGACAATTAAGCTTTTAACATATGCAGCGCCTCTTATTGTTAACATTTTTTTATGGTTAGAATACTTAAGATTACACTCTAGATTGCTAACCAAATTTCAAGCGTACAGTGCAATAGTAACAAAATTTGTGAAGTAGTCACATGGCAATATTTTATATCTCCAGAGCTTACCTTGTGTGCCTGATGCTTGGTACCCCTTGACAACACCCACTCCTCCCTCACCTGCAGCCCCTGAAAACCACCGTTCTGCTCTCCGTTTCTGGAGTTCAACTTTTAAAATTCCATGTATAAGTGAGATCATGTCATATCTGTCTTTCTGTCCCAGCTTATTTAAGTTAGCATAATGTCCTCCAGGTTTATCCATGTGGTTACAAATGGCAGGGCTTCTTTCTTTATAAGGCTGCATAATATCCCTTTTGTGATTAATTTTATGCCTTGCATTTGTATGGAACTGTCCAGTTCTCAGAACACTACGGGAATTGCATTGAGCCTCCCCTAAGACAGCCCAGGCAAGTCGCAGAGGCTGTTAGTAGCATCGCAGGTGACAGATGAGGAAACAGGCTGGGCGGAGGGTGTACACCAGGTTTCACTGCTAGTTGGCAGCTGTCTTGCTTCTTAGCCCAACATGTTTCTCTCCCTCACAGCGATCCTGCTGTTTTTATGCTGTTCTTACACCGTGCTCTCAGACTCTGCCCAGGGGGACCCGCTGGGCCATGTTTGCGTTCTGCTACCGTGGAGGGGGGTGGTCTTCGCCCAGGTTGGAGAGGTGGAGGAGGGGCACTAGTGGAACTGAAACTCGGAGTTAACCTTGGCAGTGGAATAGGAGAGCAGCTGTGACGTGGATGCTCACTTTCCTTCCCATGTTCATCCCCCAGGCAATGAGGAGAGCCATCTCCAGGAACACTGCCATGCTCGTCTGTTCCACCCCACAGTTCCCTCATGGTGTGATAGACCCTGTCCCTGAGGTGGCCAAGGTATGTGAGGGAAATGGGCTCCAAAACAGCGAAACTGAGGCTTTAAAACGGAATCTCGTGATAACAATACTTGGCGAACAGAAGCGGTGCTGGGTTTAGATTGTAATACAGTGGTGGGGAACAGCTCTCATCAGCCCTGTGGTAAGCCCCGCAAGCTCTCTGGGGCCTCCGAAGGTTACTAGCTTCTGCTCTGGGGGAGGGATACCAGAAGGAAGAAGGCTTTGTTTAAATTGGATATCTGGAAGTAGGACTCACATTTCGTTCAGGTCAGGAAATAATCCGCCTCTAGGCTCATGCCTACTAGGCTCATACCTATTCCACGTGGTATTCCGTGGAATACCACAGAAGCGTGGTATTCCGTGGTACTAGGTGTGGGGCTCCATAGCACTGTCTCTCCACTTCCCCACCAGCGGTTGCCAAAGCGGGACCTTTGTTCCCCTCCAGAGGCGGCCTGGATCAGAGTGCTACTCATTTCCTGCCTGATTTTGCAATGAGTTTGAGATCCTGCGTATTTACATGTAAAATAAATACCACATTTCAGATGCATTCTTTCGAAGGCTAAATACATTTGAGCTTTTTTATTAGGAATGTCAAAAATGGCCCTGTGGTTACAGCCCACCTTTCCACCCATGTCTTGCAAAGTTCTTGCTATAGAGCTATAAATGAAGTTTTCTTACGGGCCTTGTGTTTTGGAACTAGCTGGCTGTCAAATACAAAATACCTCTCCACGTGGACGCGTGTCTGGGGGGCTTCCTCATCGTCTTTATGGAGAAAGCAGGATACCCGCTGGAGCAGCCGTTTGATTTCCGGGTGAAAGGTGTCACCAGCATTTCAGCGGATACCCATAAGGTGAGCGGGGGAAGGGACTGAATTTTAATCAGAGTAGACAGTTGGTTATTTTGGCTGTTGTCAACAAAATGGTTAAAGCTCGAGCCTTTCCCCAAGATGTAAAATGAAATCTGGCTCTTTGCTTTCAGTGGGTCAGCTGTTCAGGTCTCCGGGGACAGTGGTGGAGGAGACGAGCAGTAGAGGAAAGGAGCCTGTTATCTTTGTGTCCTAGGGCTGAGAGAATTTCTGCAACTGGGACAAGTAGTGCCATGGCCCTCCCGAAGAGTTCCCTGAAGCCTCGGAATTATTTGGGTGGAGGGTGGAGGCCAGGCTGATTGTGGAATTCCTGAGAGGGGCGTGTAAGTGCTGCAGCTCCCAGGCCACCGGGCTCCTGCAGCCGGCCGAGGGACAGGAGCCCACCGATGGAAGAGTCCTTTGGAAAAGGGGAAGCATTTAAGGTGCTCAGGAATTGTGGCTTCTCCTGTTGGAAATGCCCACGCCCGCCACCTCCCAGGGAGTGAGACACAATCTTGATCAGTTTATTTTAGAGCCGGATTAAGTAGCTCTCAGACCCTGAGTGCCATGGTGTTCTTAAAAGGAAGTGTGCTGCTGCTAAGCGCGGAGGGTGGGGAGGGAGTCAGGTCGTGAGTTTAGTTGCTTGAGTGACTGGACTCTGTCCTTGCCTGGCTTCCAGTGGACATTTATTGTCGCTCTCATCCTGACATGCTGCCCTGGAACAATGTTCTAAATAAGGAAAACCACGTGTTGGCGAGAGAGGGGAAGCAAGCTGATTAGCAGGACAGGACACTGTTCCTTCCGGGCCTCCGATTTCTTCTGCCTAAAATACAGAATTTCGACTCCACCCCTTCAGTCCCCTCTCGCTCCTAGCATTCCGAGTTGGGATTTTTAGTGTGAGTGAGAAACATAGAGAATGTGAGAAAAATCTGCATGGTCAGCGTTCCAGGACAGGGCTGCCATTCCGAACTGTATTCACATGTCCGCTTCTTCCCCTGTCAGTATGGCTACGCCCCCAAAGGCTCTTCGGTCGTGTTGTACAGTGAGAAGAAGTACAGGAGCTACCAGTTCTTCATAGATCCAGATTGGCAGGGTGGCATCTACGCTTCCCCAAACATGGCGGGCTCACGGCCTGGTGGCATTAGTGCAGCCTGCTGGGCCACCTTGATGCACTTCGGTGAGAGCGGCTATGTTGAAGCTACCAAACAGATCATCAAAACTACTCGCTTCCTCAAGTCAGAGTATGTGCGGAAGATTGGGATTCTGCCTTGTCTCTTGCTCTGTCTGCTTGTGGGCTCAAGGTGTCCGCCTGGCCAAGCACCTGGAGCCCTAGCCCTTTTGCTGTCTCCTGAGAGACCAGGGGTTAGGGCAGCAGCCCAGGAGTGTGGTGCTGGCCTGGGAGGATGAGCTCCATTGCTCTGCGGTGACTCGGAATGTCGGATCAGGCTTTATCTGTGGGCCATCTTGTTTCCAAGGATGTCTTAACAACTGGCACCTTTGACCAAGTGCTAAGGGACAGTGTAAGGTTAAGGCAAGACAGTGGTTCTGAAATTCGAGCATGCATTCTGATCACCTGGAGGGCTTAAAATGCAGATTGCTTGGCCCTGCTCCCAGAATTCCTATTTACAGGTCTAGAGTGGGGTCTGGGGACTTGTGTTTCTGGGCAGCTCCCAGTGGAGACTGGTGCTGCTGGTCAGGGGTCCCACCAGGAGGCCCGCTGGGATGAGGAGGAAGGACCGCAGCAGGAATGGGGAGGGAGGAGTGATGGACTCGGGGGTTAAGCGAAGGCTGGAACTGGGCTGTGTGTGTTGTCTAGCATGTCTGTTCCCATACTACCTGCCTGTGTTGCTGTGTGTCACCAGGGTTGGGGGGCTTTTTCAGAATCTTAAGGGGGAGTGAAAGCAGCCAGCGGGCATGTCTGACTTGAAAAAGGCCCACATACGGCTCTGGTGTCCCTCTCTGCGGAGAACTACTGTACTAGTTCTTGCTTTAGGGACTACATATGTGACTGTTTAGAATTGGGGGAGGGAGAGACTGCATTTCCAGAATTTTTAAAAGCTGTATCTTTAATGCCTCAGATGCCCCCAGGGTCGATAATCATGATTTGGGAGTTGGGCAGATGGGTTAGGAGCCAATGGTTCTAATTCATGGAATCTAGATGGCGTTTGGGCCTTCGAATATTTGTAATGTTAGGAGTCACTGTTCTCCGTCCAGACACCTTACTTCACAAGACGAGAACACCGAAGTCCCTAAGGTTAGACTGTATTGTAAGGGCGATGTTGGATGAAGAGATGATGACCAGAGGACTAGATGTGGCTGAACTTTCTTTTTGTTCCCCTTCTTGTTTGTTTTAAGACTGGAAAAGATCAAAGGCATCTTTGTTTTTGGGAATCCTCAAGTGTCAGTCATTGCTCTGGGCTCCCGTGATTTTGACATCTACCGACTGTTCAATCTGATGACTGCAAAGGGGTGGAACTTGAACCAGCTGCAGTTCCCATCCAGGTAAGCTCTCAGGAGCCTCTCTCCCTCCTTTGCTCCATGACTTTTGAAGAGCTTGGGTGGCAAGATGACCGGAAGGACAGAGACTGGCTGCTAGAGCCCAGACTTTGGTGGCAGCTGTGGCATCTAGGATTTCCGTCTTGCCGGCTGGAGTTATCTGATACCAAAACAATACCATTACCCTTACCCTCCGACAGAGTCAGGGGGCCACCTCTTGGGATCAGGGGTCAGCCATAGGCCCCCTCCCCCCACTCCCTCTTGGCTCTGTACCCTTGGGTCTGTCTTGCACACAGTCACCAGATTGCTCCTATAAACGGACCCGCTACCTCAGCAATATTTAGCTCCAGATCTTGCACAGGGCTTCTGATCATTCAGGCCTGCTACTGTCTCAGTGTGCTCTCCCAGTCTAATCCTCCACGATGTCTTTAAAGCGGCGCTCCGCCTCAACAGAACAGGTCTCTTCAGTGTCCTCTGCCTCCTGTCCTGGTCAGTGTTGTAGCCAGTTGAGTTCGGACACTGCTTTTTCCTCTTCGCAGCCCCTCTGTGTACCCGTGTCCCCCCAGAGGAGTTGGGGCTGCTGCTCTGCCTTGCCGCCCTTCAAGACCTCAGCCCGGGCCCTGTCCCCGAGAGGGCTTGTCGTCTAAGACAGAGGCATCCCGTCGGTGGTCACGTGGCTGAAGGATTGGCGGTGGATAGTTTCTGAGGGGAGGGGTGGGACCGAACCGCCAGCTGTATTCCTCCCGTCAGGGTGCTGTTGGGCCGCGCTGAGGGGCCCTCATGCCACCCTGGGCTGGCCAGCCCCTGCGTTCCAGAGCCCTGGCTCCCCGCCCTGGGAGCCGCGCAGGTGACTGTGCTTGTCGCAGACAACGCAGAGGGGCGACCAGCAGATCCCTGCGTTCGGGGCTGCTTTACTTCAGAGTGCTCTCTTATCTTCCCGGGACTCACCACTCTTGGTCTCTTTCCTCTCCCGTAGCATTCACTTCTGCGTCACGCTAGTGCACACCCGGAAGCGCGTGGCCATACAGTTCCTGAAGGACGTCCGCGAGTCTGTCACCCAGATCATGAAGAACCCTAAAGCAAAGACCACGGGAATGGTAGGGCCCTCGGGGATCTTCTCTGTGGATGTTGAGGCTTTGGGGGGTAGGAGGTTGAAAGAATCTGATGCGCCCTATTCTGTGGCTGCCTCTGCCCCTTTTACCCACCGTTTTCGTACTGAATTGCAGCTGATGATCTCTGCCTCACCCACTCCCAGGGTTTCTAAGCCCAGATGAGATGTACTGTATATAAAGCACCTTGTAAAAATGTGAAAATGCTATATAAAAAGCTGGTAGTGGTAGCGGCCATTTGAAAAGAAAAATTGGACACAGGAAAGGCAATTTACCAATTTTCTCTGGAGTTTCATACCGAAAATCCCATGGGATAGTTCCTTTGGGCAGAAAGGCAGACTGGCAAGGGCCTGGGGAAGTGTGGCCGTGCCCGCTGCCCTCTGCTAGGCTGGAGCCTGGGCCAGGGGTGGAGACGGGCAGGGGAGGGCACGCTGAAGGTGAGGTCAGAGGAGAGGAAGATCACAACCGTCCTGGGCCCCTCGTCGCTAACAGCAATTCTTTGGCCGGATTTGTAGGGTGCGATCTACGGCATGGCCCAGACCGCCGTCGACAGGAACCAGGTGGCGGAACTGTCCTCGGTCTTCCTGGACAGCCTCTTCAGCACAGACACCGTACCTCAGGGCAGCCAGATGAACGGTTCTCCGAAGCCCCGCTGAGCGGGGAGGGGCTCTGGCCTCCAGAGGCTCCCGGGAGGGTGCGGAGCCGGCCACGTGCAGGTTCAGCATCTGGTCTCGCCCGCAGAGCGCGGCGAGACCGACAAGGGACAGCTCGGTGCTCGGGACCGCGTTCCTCCTCCGCACAGCCTGCTGTGGTTTTTAATGTGAAGGCCCTGCAGGGTTCTGTTTCATAATTATTTTGCCATTGTTTTAAATGTTATACTAGGAATTGTTTTAACCATTTCCTTTCCTAACCTCTCTAGCTTTCCGCCTCACTTAATCGTGTGTGGCAGCTCTGACCTGTCCTGATCTGATTTCCTACGCGAGCGTTGGTACAGTGTGTGAGACAGAGAAAGGCTCCTCCGTGATCTCAGGCAGACGGGCTGGTCAGCTCGGGAGCACTCACGGAACCGAAGTCCCCCGGGTGGCTAGGTGCACTCTAGGCAGGAGGCACCTTCAGCCTTGTGCTCTGAGTGGATTCGTCATCTGTCTGAGAAGCACGGGTACTGCAGCTTGTCCTGTGTCTCCAGGACGCAGACTGACCAGTCCGTTGCTCACGTTCTGCGGGGTCAGCACGGCCAGCCTGCCGGGGCAGGTGCAGAGTGGTACGTTACCCTCTTCGGGGGGCAGTCCCCGTTTGATTCTTGGTTTGCACCATCTTTGGGGACTCCTATTTGAAATGATGCACCCTCTGGTTTGTTCTCGAACTAGGAAGGGAATGTCATTCCCAGAGAATCCAGGACTTTCTGGCCTAGTGCTGCCTCTCTGCACTGGCAGTTTTCAGAGCACAGCCCAGCCCTCACCTGGGCTAGAAGTGACCAGAAACCAGACCCTTTCCTATACTTTACTGAAAGTCAGGGTGGGATGAGCACTCATATTCAGAAACGTGTCACCCAAGTTGGTGGCCCTCCCCCTTGCCTCCACTGCTTTAAGCCATCATGAATGAGAGCATGTTTGCCAGAAGGGACAGACAGCTCAAAGCACTCACAAGTTGCCTTGATTTACCCTAGGTGGTGCAAGGAGGGCCTGAGCGAGCCCCCAAGGCAAGGAAAAATTCCTGTCCCTGTTAGTGTGCTCCCTAGCCTCTCTCCCCTGTATTCGGCTCCCCAAGGTACGATGGCAATTGAGCCTCAGGTACTGGGCACTCTTGGCCCTGGCTCGGCTGAGATAAACATTTTGGCATAGGAAGACACGATGGTGTCAGTTGGAGCCTAGGACCTGGGATTTCTTCTTAAGACTAGTTGCTCAGGGTGGTGCAGGGACAGGACCAAGCCCTGCACCCACTTCCTGCCGCCTCCTGCCCCTCGTGGGGCCTGGATCTGGGCTGCGCCACTGTCCCACCCTCATGACGACATACTGTATGTGTGCCTTTTCCCTCGGCAGGGGGCAGTGGTGGGCTATTCCTCACCCAGGCCCTGGGGGCGTGGGGGGCGGGGGTGGCCTTGGAGGCTTTCCTTTGGGTAGGGGATTACTGGGGATGAGTCAGGAGACAGTCCTCGATTCCATTTCCCTTCTCAGGGACCCCTGAATATTCAGCTTCTTCAGGCTGGCATCCTCCCACCTCTTCCCTGGGTGTGCTGGCCAGCAGAGCCTAGATGACAGTTTCCCCAAGCTCCTTACCACGTGTATCTGAAATGTTCTTTAGCACTGTACTTCCCGCATAAAACTGTGACTGGCCATGTCATTGCAGGCTGGTGTGTGTGTGTGTGTTTCCTGTTTCCGCCGTTGTGGGTTCAAAGGGTGGTTGGTGTCTGTGTGTGTCAGAGGGAGAGGCTGAGGCCCTTCGGACATGGAAGCAATGTTCCCTCCAGTTACTGAAGCGGCGGCACCTCCTGAGAGGGCTGTGCACGAATCGTCTCTTGGTTTCCAGTGCATTCCTTAACGCTGGGGGAAGTCCCGGGACCCAGAACCACCCAGCAGGCACCGCTGTGGTTTGTCAGCTGCGCAAACAGAGAAGCCTGTGCCCCAGAGTGTTCTGTTGCTCCCAGCATCTCCCCAGGCCCTGCCCCTGTGCTTCGACAGCTTTGCTGGGGAGGGGGTAGAGCTGTTTTTCAAAGGGACCTACTGTCGCCACTTTAATTTATGTTTACGAGCCTTATTTGACTAAACATTTGTGGGCTTTCCATTCTGTGTATCTGTGTGTAGTAACGCCAAGTCTGCTAGAGGTGGGTGGAGTGTCTTAACTCTGCATTAGAAGTCAGTAGTTGTGTGAGTATACTGCCATGTCACTTTTAATATTGCCCGTTTTATACTTGGAAAATGGTACTTGCCTCCTTGAATTTTCTGTCTTTAACCTTCCCCTTCCCATCTCAACGCTCCCTTTGTAATTGCAGCAATAGTCTCTTAAAAAGCAATTGGATCATTAAACGTCCCAAACCTTCATCGCTGTGGATGGTTGCATTCATTTGTTTATTTGGGCGTGCACGCATCATCCCAGATGGGATGCTGGCAGCTCTAGAACCACTGCTGGGGAGAGATCGCCCCCTCGTGGTAACGTGGTTGTGTGGTCACCGACAGTGGGGCAGGCAGCCAGGAGTGGGTGAGCAGCACTCCCGCCCGGTCCCCAGCATTCCATGGCTCCCCTGGGAGTGGTGGTCACACCTGTGTTAAGGCTGTCTGGAACGCAGGTCTTTCGTTCCCCTCACAGAGTAAAAAGTAGTAGGCAGGCCTTGAGACTGTGGCTAAGTTTCTAGTTAGAAAGTATAACAGGCACCAGGAGTAGAAATCTCAGCGGATGCTGTAGAGCAAGAAGGGGGTACGGCCCCAGACTGCCTCTCTGTTTCAGCCTCAGCACACGGGCCACACGGTGCCCTGCACACGTTACCTTCTGTTCACGATGCTCCCTCAGCATCTCTGCCTCAAGAACTCGATTCTGGTCTTTGAGGCGCAACTCAGACGAAGCTCCAGATTCACCCTTGTTAATCACTTCCTGTTCTCTTAGCTCATTTCTTATCCTTGCACCTAGTGTTAACTTAGTTCATTCTGCCTAGTAACAGTTAACCATTTTCCTGCTGACTTCCTCTAGATGGTGGTGAACTCCTTGTAGGCAGGGTGCTTTAAATGTCTGTTGGCTCCCATTTGGATTGACCTGCGGGAAAGAAGACTCTAGAGCCTGAGGCCAAGGGAAACAACAGTTTTATTTGAGACATAAAAGCACATGTGTTTTTATCACACAGGAGGGGGTTGGCATTAGGGTTCTGGTTTCTAAGATAAGATTTTGTCTATTTTAGACACAGCTTCTATCACAGCTTCTTGGGAAATGAATTAGAAAGGGAGCAAGATACAGCTGGGAAAGAAATCGTGTTGCTGGGATGCTGTGAAGAGTGGGAAGACCCTGTTCAAATTAGTGCGCACTTCAGAGAGGGTGGGGACGAGGAGCCAGTGTGGGGAAACCTGGCCTCAGTCCCTGGTGTTGGCAGTGACGCCGCCTTTCTTTCCCCTAGAGGACCCACCCCTAGGTGGGGGCAGCAGGGCGGACTGGGCAATTTCAGCTACGGCAACATTTTGGGGCTCCCCTGTTTGCTCTCTGGATTTCCAGTTCAGTCACCCCTTTCCCCGGGAGCTCAAAGAGGAAAGGCAGGGTCTAGGTCATGGACACAGCTACTTGCTCGATGAAGCTGGCCAGGTTGATGTCGCGTTCTGACAGGCCGGCACACTCATGGGTGCTCAGGGTGATGTGCACCTGAAACAAACCAGAGAGGCAGGGCCAGATGGCTCCACTGCCTCCGCCTGCGAGCAGCAGAGTCACCAGCTGGTGGGCTCAGCCACGCATGCGCATGCACATGCAGGGTTTTGTGGTGGCCAAGGGCCCCAGATACGGGTGCGCTTCGTGCTGCACCTCACAGACGCTGTGACTTTGCCAACGAAGTACGACCCTCCACCAGCAAGATTACGACTCCCTAAGATGACAGCGTTTTTCAGCAATAAAGCATTTGTAATTAAGGTAGGTACTTTGGGTATTTTTAGACATAATGCTATTGCACATTTAATGGGCTACACAATATAGTGTAAATGTAACTTTTACAGGCACACTTTATTGCTGTAGCCTGAAACGGAACCCACAGTCTCCCTGAGGTATGCCTGTGGCCACTGGTCACTGCAGCCTCCGGGGGGTGGGGTGTGTTGCCTTCCTCACTCGACACGTTTTCATAACAGTGCAGAAGTGTCTTCTCACACCTCCACACACAGTGGGAATGCTGGCTATCGGTTAAAAACAAAACACCCAAATATTAAGAGCTACCTGAAACTAAGGATGAGACCACAAACCAACTCCAGCTCCTACAGGCGGTCCATTTGCAGACCGTGCCTTCCAGCCTCAACGTTTTTAGGGAGAGCCCAGGAGAGCTCTTGGCACATGGCAGGCATTCCGTGACTGTTCCACTTCATTCAGCAGAAACTCGGATCTGCCGGCTATGCGTGGCTATTCTTAGCTCACTTTTATTACTTCACTCTTCCATACCGACAGGAAGATTTAAGCCATGCAATGCTGCTAACAATGAATATGCCTGATCCCTGCAGCCTCTCCTTCCTTAGGTTTTGCCTTCTCGAAGTCTATGTAGTATCTGCTGGAACCACAAGTTATCTCTCGGTGTTTTAATTTGCATTTCCTTAATTTGTCGTGACATGATATTTTCTAGGAGTGTTGATGTTGATTGTGGGAGGGAGATGAATGGAGCAGGAGGTATGGACAGTGAGCCTAGGGGTGAGGAGGGCCCGTGGGGAAGCCCAAGAAGGGGCCTTTGGAAGGAGGTGGGGTTCCCAGAACCTGGGTGGGGCCTGCACTGCAGGCACCGTCACTCACCTTGTTGTACACGTTGAACCATTCGGGGTGGTGGTCTAGTTTCTCGGCCTGAAGGGCTACTCTCGTCATGAAGCCGAAGGCCTGTTTAGTGAAGGGAGACCCAGGTTAGTGTTTGGAGACTGCTGGGCACCTGTTTATGGCTGGTGTGAGGCCTCGATGGGGCGGGATGGAGAAGCTTTGTTGAAGGAGAACCCTCTAGCCTTCACCACTCCTGCGGCATCTGGCCGCTGGCCGGGGCTGGAGTTCCCGGTGGTCTTCGTGCAGTGGGAGGAAAGCCTTGTCCTTAGATGGTACGAGTACATCTTAGATGCCACCAAGGTGGCAGCACCAGAGAGGTGGTTGGTCTTGTCCAATCTTTTGTCTCTAAAACGTCTTCAGATGTCCATTTGTTTCCTCCTCAACCTCCCTCCTCTAAGGATTGTTTCTCAAAATTCCACGCCTGTACTCTCCAGGCCCCAAGGTGACACTTCTGAGTAAGCTGCATTACACGATGTCTGACAGTCTTTAGCAGCAAGACTGTAAGGGGGAGCACAAGTGTGACCCTGGCAGTCTGTCTCAGAAAACTCTGCCCGCCCCAGGGCCTTACCCTGTTGAAGTCTTTGAAGTGGAACTGCTTGAAGATGGCGTCCCGGCCCTCTAGCTCGCTCCAGCCCACGGCCCGCAGGTTAGGCAGCAGCTGGTCCCGCTCCTCGGCACTCAGCCTGTGCGCCTTGCCGGCCTAGGGGAGGAGACAGACAGAGGCCCCAGGCCTGTGGGGGAGCCAAGCCAGGCTCTGATGGCTGCTCTGGGCACAGGTGACACAGTCACAGGGCAGCTGGTCTGAGGCAATGGACTGGGACCTGTTGACTGACGGTGGCGCCCTGCCCTGGAGGTGGGGCCCTGGCTCCTGCACTGATAGGTTCTTAGATTTTACATTCCACTCAAAAGGGCAGGAAATGATGAGGTGTCATGCAAATCACCTTGAACTAAGGAATGCTCCCCCCAAAAACAATTAGGTCTCTTACAATACCAAGGGAGTAAAAGCAAAACCTAGCTCAGATGTGTATGTACTGTGACACTACCTTTCAGAAAAACAGCACCCCAGAGTGTCGAACCTGCCTCCCTCTCTTAACTGTGGACTTAGGCTGCCTGCCTGCACACCTCTGCTGCTACTCACTGTTGGGCGTAGCATAGAGGAAACAGGCCAAGAAACGGGGAATGACCACCGCACCTGCCCTACCTAGTCGGGGAGAGCACGGCATCGTTCTCAGAGGGGTCTGTGCCTCAGGATCCTGGAGCCGGCGAGGGACCCAGCACTGAAAACACGTTTCAGGTGACTCTTAGCCACACTGCAGCTGACAAGCACCGGCACCACATCCCAGTGGGTCCTCCATGATGCTCCCATGCAGCCTCTGGTTCCCAGCTAAGGAGTCTCAGCCTTTCGACAACTGCTTTGCTGTTAGCTTGGGAAGCCCGAGCCACAGAGCTTGGTTAAGAGTCAAAGTAACTTGGCCAGAGGCAGTTGCAAACCTAGTGCCTCATCTGAGTATTTTCCTATTGTGCAAAGTGCCCTTCGGGCAGCCTGAATTGGCACAGTTCAGTCCACAAGTGACTGACCCTCAGAGAACAGAAGGAAGCAAAAGTCAGTTCTGTTCTCAGGAACATCCAAATCTAAGAGCTTAAGGGGTCCCAGAATTGGGCCTTTGAAACAAATACCCAAAGACAGAAGCTGTCAAGTGCTAAATGAAACATGAACCTAAAAGGTCTGGGCAGGTTAACGCAGCCCGCAGCCCGGAAGCCACCGACTGAGTTGGGGGGACTGGTCCAAGCCCCACCCCTGCCCTTCCCCAGCCAGGTGGTCCCGAGGCGCTCATCTCCCTTGGCTTGATGAGTAAAAGGGACGCTTCCACTTCACACCAGCAAGAGGAACCAACGGGACACGATAAATTCCGTAGTTGTGAATGGAGTGTCATCTGCATTTTTTGTAAAGGAAACTTCCTGGGGTGTGTAGGCTTAGGATGCGCCTTACAGACTGGAGGAGATTGGGAAGGCACTCTGGCAAGTCATCTTTTTCCCCCTTCTGAGAACATGTGCTCTCTCTGGACTGTCTGACTTGGTCCGTCCCCTCTCCTAGGCTCCAGAAGGCAGAGAAGGTGGCAGAGATATGCGTCACCAGCCCGACCCCATCCCTCCTTCAGAGCTGGCCCTTTCTCAGTGGCCGATAAGCCTGTTCCCCGTATCCAGGCAACCAGAGACCAGATGTCACCCCAGGCATCAGAGCTCACTGTTTAGTTCCTTGGCTCTGAAAGGAGTGGATGGGTGCTACTGAGCTCCTGGGAGGTCCCCTTTCTGTTTAGAGTCTCCTGGAATCCCCCAGGTCTCATAGCCCGAAGCTGAACTGACAAGCCCTCCTGAGATCTGGGAACAGAGAGGGAGAAGGGGTGGTATTCACGTAGTAAATCCCAAGTCAGGCCTGGCTGGCCTCTGCTTCTCCCAGGGTTACTGATTACCCACTTTCCTGCATCTTGGGGGCCTCAGTGCACTTCATGGTAGCCACACTCACCACCTCCCCTCCCTCCAAGCCACAGCCTTCAAAAAGCCC